TACTGTGCAATCACCTCCTTTGGGCGGTTATCGCGCGCAGGCCAGTGTAGCAAGTGCGCCTTGGTAAAGAAATTATGAAGGTTAATGTCCGCCAAACTGGTTTTGAATGTCTTAATGTCAGGTGCTGTACAGATGTTTGGTGGGAGCATGTTCCATTCTCTGGCTGATCTTGGGTACATTGAGTATTGATAGCATGTCTTGTTGAAGTCAAATCAGACACGACATTTTTAAGAATGTGATAAGCCGATAATTGAACATCATGGATAGACATGGTCGCAAAGGTGACTGCTCTAGGTGAGGGTTAGGTTAGGGTTGGGTTTAGGGTTAGGGTTTTGGATAGGGAGAGTATGTGCAGTCGGAACATTGACATAGGGGTGTCGGAATTACATAGGGGCGTCGGAATTACATAGGGGTGTCGGAATTACATAGGGGTGTCGGAATTACATAGGGGTGTCGGAATTACATAGGGATGTCGGAACATAGGGATGTCGGAACATAGGAATTTCGGCACATAGGTTGAGTTGTCGGAACATAGGGGTGTCGGAACATAGAGGTGTAACCGTCTCAAAAGTCGTTACCTAAACTAGAGCGACAGACTTAGTAAAGAAAAAAAGACCGCTATAACGAACACCATTCTAACCAACATTTGGCTATAACGAACACCCTTTGGCGCCCGGAGCAGTAAATTAATTAATATACAGCGTGTCACATGTCCCTCTGGAGGTTGTATCAGAATTCTCGTAATATATGAACATTCTCAAATCCGATTATTAAATTGATGAGCACAAACATTTTTCTTTCTTGTGTGAGGTTTTTGTTGGATTCGGTTCAGTGGTTTCGAAACAAAAGCCATTTTGTAACACCAGTCTATTTTGCTCCATTCCAAGTTTGAAAACACTTTGAGAGCGTACACAATGTGTTTCTCTGCAAGTGATTTTAACAACATAACGCTTTGAAACGCTGCTTTGCTAAAATGAAAGAAGATATATATTACACAATAAATAGCCACAGTCAACAATGAGAAGTGTCAACAATAGTATTCCTCCTATATAGCTTAGTATACTTTAATCAAAAAGCCAATTTAAGCAAGATGTTCAACTTGGAATGGTGCAAAATAGTATTGTGTTACATAAGAGCTTTTATTTGGAAAACCGGTGAGCCGGACCGAAGGAAATGTTTACAGAAAATAGTATAATAAAATATGCTTCACAATTATTATTATTTTTTTTTTGCGATTTCTGCTATATACAACCCAAAGAGGGGTATTTTAAGGACACCCTTTAAGAGAGCCCGTCACGTGGCCGGTTTTAAACGGTTGACAAAGACATGGCTGGCTGGTCTTAAACACTTTTTCAGTGTCACATGAAATTTGGACTGTATGAAATCCGGTGCCATTACCGTTTTATTGGTTGAACGTTCACAATCCTCACGTAGGCATGCGCAATAAACCTTTGTACTGATGACGTCACACTCTGTTTACTTGCGTGCTTTCCTATGGTGCTCAGTGGACCGTGAGCCCCCACTGGCTCCACAGGAAAGTGCACACGTAAACAAAGTGTGACGTCATCAGAACAGAGGTTTATAAGACCAGTGAGTCAGTGTTTCATAGTCCTAAATTCACACTACATCCGTAAATCTCGGTTGTGCGCCACTTCACGCAGTACGCGCGACGCGCGCGTCAATCTCCATACAAGGAATTGTTTACCAGATGGCCTTACCATTGTATAGTCAGAGGGGTGTTTAGTTGATCTAAATCGTTCAAAATGTATAATTTTGACCTTTTAAAAAAAACCTTTTGGATCAAAAAGTTTTGATCTTTTTTAACGAAAAAGGTATTTATGAATGGAATGGGAATATAATGCGTGGGCGGTATTAAACACTATGTTTAAGACCGTACGAGTTGGAGTCTGGATGCTGATAATTACCCTCACCTTCGGCTCGGGTAATCATCAGTATCCAGACTCCAACCGGCCTTAAAAAGAGTGTTTAAAACCGGCCAAGCACACATTTATTCCCTTAATAACGAACGACCACTATTACATTATTGTGTGTGTGTGTGTGTGTGGACCCCATCATGTTCGTTATACAATGGCGTTCTTCTGTATCCAATACCGTTGCGTGTGTCATACCTGGCAGATCGTGTTGTTCTTCGTCCATAACTGCCCAGGACGTTCAAGCGGTCTCGGCGCAGTTTAATCTCAGAGGATCAATCACTCAAATTCATTCGTGTGTATGTAATCCTGTTTCGTTACTCAGTCTCTCGAGGCCTAATTGCTTCCAAGTCATCGGTGTTTTAATAAGGGTCCTCGGTGAATGTCACAACAGTTCTGTCAATAATCCCTGGAGATATGAAATCCTGTCCTTGACGAGCGCCATGCGAATCAAACTTGAAATGGTTCCGACGAATTAAACGCTGATATTTTTTTACAAACTCGACTCCATCCATTGCATTTCGCGCTCAGCTTAATAGCCAGTGAAGAAAGCCACCAAGGAAGTTGGCAATGCATCAATGAACAAAGGAAAAACCGACTACTTAAAACAATTAAAATTTACTTCAGTAAACGATTTGTGAATAGCCCAGTGCGTAATTTAGCTATAAGGTCATTTTGCTAGCAAACATTTATTGCTTAGGGGTGAGTCCAATTTTTCAAAAGTCAAAAGTACTTAATTTTCAAATGAAATGCTTTGCCGTAACGGGATAAGCACTCTCCATTGAATTAATAATTAATCCAAGGCAGGAAGACTTCATTTCCGCGTGGTATATGAAACCGTCGACTGGCATTTTGCAGCAACCCACGAATTTGATTACATTAAGGCGCGGTGTTGGGGCCACTGATATTAAGTGTAGGCGCGCTTTTAATGTGACCAGACAACAGGTTTGTCTGGGAACGTAGCTAATTGATTGATAGGGCTAAGGAAAGGAAAATGTACACATCTGCGCACAGAGAAATATATCATGTTCAACGCTACCCCTAAGCGTACTTGAAATCGACAGGTTTTGAGAGCATCCATTACATTCCGGCTGGAGAAGGAGTTGAACGCACTCATTGTGTTTGTTTTATCGAGGAAACTCATTACGTTCAGAGCACATTGGCGAAGAGTAAATGTTCTGGATTGGTTTTTGTTTGGCCAATCGAGTTGGCATTCAATCTGTCACTGATATTCGCTCCGGTTTTGTCCAAGACAGGTTATTCATCGACTTTGGCAATAAAACTCGCCAAGTGGCTCTTGTTTTTATTTCATTGTGAAAGGTTTTGAAGTGTTTGTACCATTTCGTACTATGACAATACGGTACTGCGGTAATACGGTAATGCATAATGAATTGTTTATGGCATTTGTTCATCCAACATAATAACGCATATGACTTGATGATATCATTTTGATTATTATAATCTTAGATGATCACATCAATTATCCTCAGATAAAGCCAGTCGTTGGGTTTTATAAGATTTGACTTTTTTTGCGTCCGCTTCTAAGCCGTGCATTATCTCCTGCAGATCTGATTTAAGAGCGATGTTGTTCCATAATTTAATCTACCAGGGTTGGAAGGAATGGAATTTGTTTGCGAACATGAGCTCCGGAACTCTGGGGAAATTGACAAAAGCCCAGTCACGGACGGTAATGCATTTATCATTGTTTACCTTGGAAAGGACCGAGGTTGTTACATGTGCGGCAGCTGGAAGCACACGTCTGACTTGATTGTTTTCAAGCCTTGAAGATGATCGAGTTTTTCTTTTGATTAAGTCACGCACGCATTCATTTTCGAGAACTTGGTTCGGTTATTTACAATGGCTTAGAAATAAAACTTATTCAGGAAATACAAGTATTTCGGAATTAAGTAAACACCGCAGAGAAGAAAAAGTCCACGCTCATTCGAGCGGTCATAATTTTGAATCTGATCGTCTTAATGATAACGTCACATATATTATTTTATATAAGAACGTTAGTGAATGTTGTAAACTTCATTCTGGTACCCAGTTTGCTACCAACAACCGTACATCGTCCAACATTGACAACGGTTTATTAAAAATGATGCAGTTTGAAAAGTTGCAAATTTAAAGAGTACGCGAGTGGGAATGGCTCCGTGATCGATAATGTCACACTGCCCTAAACGAACGGCAGGGAATACCGACCGCACTAGTGCTTGCATGCATGGGAGCACGCGAATTGAATTACCCGCGCTTTGTTCGGGCACTGTGCGGTCGATCCGCTCCGTTCACAAGTACCCCCTCACCGGCAAAGAAAGTACAGTTGGGGGTGACCGACCGACGCCATCTTGCCTGACTGCAATTAATTTGCCGCGCAAGCACGGCCACTGCGTATACATAGTACAAATCCCCTGGTGAACGTGCGTCACACACAAGGAACGGTGCGCGTCAACCAGCGAAATGTCCCGCCCATAGGACGTTGTTGCTAGGTAAAAGGGCGCCCTCTTTTTCGGCGCACGGAGTCCATAGGGGCCAATTACTGGCATGTGTGGCTACGCTTAGCAATTTCTCTTCGCGTAATCTTTACATTTTGTAACTTTTCAAACTGCATCATTTTTCATAAACGGTTGTCAATCTTGGACGATTGACAGTCTTTGGTAGCAAACGGGGATCAAAATGTAGCCTACAAAATTCCCAAAGGTCTTTTGTAAATGACACCATCATAAGACGATCAGATTCAAAATTATGACCCCTCCAATGAGTGTGCGGTGTTTTATGTTGGAATATTTTATTAGGCACAGTGTATAGCACCTACATAGGTTACTAGACTAGCTTAATTCTAATAACGCAAATCAATGCGCAGTGCGTCCGGTGTAGGCGCTATAGGCTCCTTCACATGGAAAAATGACAAGTATATCCTGCACATGCACCTTCGTAGGTGCTGGTGTATTGAAAATCTAGGTAAATGGCACCCTATGCACCTATAACATCTTTAAAAGCGTCACTTTTCCCACTCAAGGGCGCAAATGCATAATTTTTATATATATTTCTCTATTTTCCAGTGACTGGAGGAGTTGTTTGTGAATGCCAAGATGGATATCACCGAACCTACAGTTGATGTCACCGTCACCGCCGAAGGCGTCATAGACAACAGCGATGAGATTTCCATCAACATCGTATTCCTCATCTGCACGATAATAATGTTGTGTATGGGCTTAGTTGGAAACGTGCTCGTCATAGGCGCCGTGCTTGTGCATAGGCGCCTACGAGTTCTGGGCAATGTGTTCGTCATTAACTTGGCCATTGCCGACATGTGCGTGACGATCTTCGTCGACACCTTTTCCATCGTAGGAATCGCAACCGATGGAAGATTCTTCGACACCCAACAAGCGTTGTGCGACATGGTGGGCGTGATCTGCGTGACGTCATGCTCATGCTCGATGTGGAATATCGGCCACATCAGTCTCAATCGTTACATGCGGATCTGTCACGGCAAATTGTACCCAAGAGTCTACAACAGGCGCACAATTCCCTTCATTCTGGCCGTAACTTGGACCCTGTGTTTCCTGATTGACTTACCAAATCTTGTGGGTTGGGGAGCCCATGCATTCGATGCTCGAATCATGATGTGCACCTACGATTACACCGAGTCCTACACCTACACACTATACTTCATTGGCTGGGGCTTTGGCTTTCCCTTGGTGGTAACGAGCTATTCCTACCTTCGCATTATCTATGTGGTCAAGCAGGCTGAACGCAACGCCAGAAAGGCTAACGACGTGCAGACCGTATCAAAAGCTGTCTCGGGTACCACGCGGCCGGCAGGTACCAGCAAGGAGTCCCAAAAACGCGTGCCACGGATCGGCAACACTGATATTCGTTTACTTCGGTCGGTGTTCACCATTTGGATCGTGTTTTTGGTGATGTGGTCCCCTTATGCGATCACGGTACTGGGAGACACGCAGTATCTGTGGCCAACTGACGTGTACGTGGTTGCAGTCATCTTGGCGCACACTAACAGTAGCATCAATGGGATACTGTATGCTGCCACCAATCGTCACTTCAGGGAGGGTTACGGCTATCTGATTCGTCGATGCTTGCGCGGTAGAAGAGTTAGTCCCGGAGCCGTGGACACAGAGAGCACCGTTTTGATGAGACCCCAAGAGAAATCTACCAGCACCCGTTGAACAGGAATTTTTCAATATATTGAAGAGGTATCATCAAGAAACGTAACAACAAAGATGTGTCCAAGTCGTTGAAGCTGATCTATTGAGGCTAGGAGGCCTCCGGCCCAGAATTTCGAGATTCATCTTTCGACGAGACATGGCTGTGACTAGTCTTCTACAGGTATCACTCATGTTTTATTGATCAGCCAGGACGGGTTCAGAATAATTATGACCCTTGAAAGGGGCAAAAACTGCAATTCCTGCCATTTGGACATAAACTTGGCTCGTATACCGTCACTGAAGTGGCCACGCCCCTGTGGATTTTCGGGGTTGCCCAGTTAAGACAACAGACAGAGGGCTAGGGACCTTGTATATATATGTACTGCTGATTTTAATAACTGCTAGTGATTTTAATGTTAAGTAAACTTTGAGGCTTACCATGGTGAAGATACTAGGTTTGCGAAAACACCTTGTGGGAATAATTTCTCAACTAAGAGAATGGTTCTGAAAAGAACCAGAGGTATAAACTCGACGTTCCGGTCTGACCGTCTTCAGGAGAGTGCCTTATCTCTAAGAAGGTAAACACAAATACTAAATGCGAAGTCGATGAAGTGTAAACTACCAGTGGGCCAGTTTCATAGTCCTAAATACACAGCACACCGGCACATGCGTTCTGCGCCACATTGCGCAGTACGCGCGACGCGCACGAAAATCTCCATATAAGGAGCTGTTTACGCAACCTCGTCCCCAGTGCTTACTTTATTTCCAACCGCGTTTCCAATAGTAAACCCTGGATAGGAAACTTTCTTCCTGTATCCTGATTGGATACCGCAATTGGCTAGTAATGGATTTTTATCGTGTACTTGGTGCTATATATTCACAACGTGCAGTACGTGTTTTCGCGATTATTCGTCCACGCCTTCTCGAATATACTAATTTCCTTTCCAACTTGCTCATATTAATATGAAATATGATACTGCATGTTGTCTTGATAAGATCGTAACAGTTTGATTTCAAAAATCGTGTTTTCGTAACTCACGCCGTGCTCGCGCTGCTACGAATTGACTCTGTTTTTACCCCAGACACCGCATACAAAAACAAACGCTAATGTGTAACGCATATCCAGGCACCAGACTGTTCCTCATTTGCATACGTGTGCAAAAATCTTGCACATGCAAATGATCCAATACCAGGGCGAGAGAGCAGGTAGTGGTGGGCGCGTACTGCTCGACACCCTGGGGGCGAGGTTGCTGTTTACGTCAACTCGCGTGAGGTCCATATCATATTAAAGCTAGCGGGGTGTCCCGAAAAACATGTAGTAAAATTGCTTAACAAAATCGTTGGAAATGTATATATATATTTTTTTACTTGTTTTGACTTTTGGACCGAATAGTTTTGATTTTTTTGACCGAGAAGATATTTATGAATGGGAATATAAATACATGTATGTGCTTGCCCGGTATTAAACACTATATTTAAGACCGGTTGGATTATGGATTCGGATAAACACCCTCGCCTTCGGCTCGGGTAATTATCAGCATCAAGTCTCCAACCGGTCTTAAACATAGTGCTTAAAACTGGCCAAGCACACATTTATTTTTTGCCCTAATCAAAATGCGGTCAGAAATAATGATCTAATGTAAAATACATAAAACTATTGTGTAATTTCGTGTTATGTAAATACATTTTGTGAACGTCTGAAAAGTTGAGAGCCTTGTGCAATGCAGTTGAGGGCGCTGGTATATGCGATATGATAATGTAGTCCTAAAATGACCAGCAGTTGAACGTAATTGTGTACAAACGTAAAGTTTTAAACATATTTTTGTACATATAGCTGTGTACAGTACATAATTGTGTATAAAATAAAGAAATTGTATTTTATAATATGAACCGATATTGCATGAGACGGTAGTGCACTGGTATTGTTTAAAATTAAAACAAATTTCTTTTAAGAAATCAGTCACAGAGATATGAATTATGTTCAAGGTGTATTTTATAAACAGAAATGGAGTGTCCGGTCGGTTTCAAAAAATGTAACTTACTCAAAAATTGCACAAAAACGGTTACTTGTTTTGCTTAAATACTTTATTTTACTTATTGGTACTTTATAAAGCTGGATATACGTTTTTGAAAGTGATGAACTCTCGGCTAAAAGTATTGTTATTATAAGGTGGAACTGTTGGGCGTCACTCGATAGAGAATGACAGTACATTGTATACTGTGACAAGCAAGCAGCTTTCTTTTATCTATTAAATAATTCTATTTTTGTGTAATTAATTAATGGTCAGCTGATAGGTCGATAATTAATTTGTTTTCAAATGAGCCACAAAGGGAAACTGACAAGGTGAATTATAACAATGATTTGAAAAGTTAAACAAAGAAATTGACTGGTGCAGGGGTTGAACCTGCGACCTCCGGATTACCGTTCTGGTGCTCTACCAACTGAGCTATCCAGCCCTATGTTAGCAGTTCCCCAATTCGTTAATATATTTGTTTAAGGAGCGCTAAGACCCCATTTACACAGGGCTGCGACCTTTGGGCCTCCCTTGTGCAACCATAAAACTGGCCAGGTCGCCGTTGGAGGCTCCAATGAGGCCGAATGGTTGCCTAGGTCGTTCAAAGGTGGTACACAGGATGTTCAGACATCGCCACGGACGCCATGTTTGAACATGTTCAAAACAGTCGCACAAAGGTCGCCGAGGAGGTTGGTTGCTCAAAGGTGGCTCAAATGAGGCAGAAGGGAGGCACAAGCATTGCCGTGGTCTCAGAATGGATGCACAATGGTCGGCCAATGGTCGCCACGTAATAGATCCGCTCCGTTGCAAATTTTACCGTCAGTCTAGGTGATATGCTTCTGCCTCCCTTGTGCCTCCTTTGGCCGACCAAGAGCGTGCATTGAACGATGTCTGTGGCGACCGCTGTGCCTCCATTCGGCGCTGGTTGCCGTAGGTTGCACAGGGGAAGCACAGGGGAAGCAGGCAAGTGGCTCAGTGGACGCACAGGTCGCTCGTAGCTCGACATGAAAATACCCGAAAATTGCAGTTTTTGTGGTTCAAGGGAGGCACAAGGGTAGCTGTGGAGCAGTTACATAGAAACATGATTTTCTGGGTTTAGGCGACCATTGAGCATCCTGGCTCATATGAAGCACAAAGGGAAACTGACTAGCAAGGTGAATTATTATAACAATGTTTTGAATAATTTAATTGTTAAAATCAAGTAAAAACAAAAATGGCGTGTTACTAGTAGCCTGAAAGCGAGGACGATGCTATATGTTAAATCTGTATTAACAGTTTCATTATTTATCTTTACTTACATTGATTTCTCTTCGTAGCCGTCACCTTGTAATTGGCTTTCATCACATTTAAAAAAAAATTGTCTACCTCTTTAATTAAAAAAATAGTTTACACAACTAAGAAGTACATGTAAATTCATAAAGTTTGATTAACGTTTTTTGATACTTGCGTAGTTCATTCCAGACATGTAATAACTGTTTGCGTGACGCATGGGAACCAGCTAAATGACGAGGGTCATCAAATGTCTTCATGATTTGTTTAAAGAACACAAGTAGACCAGTGAATAAATTATAATACCAAGGTGTTTCAGATTATATTTGCACCAATCTTGTGTCTAAATCCGTCTTTTGTTTTATTAAAAAGTTGGTTCTTGGTTTCTTTATACAGGGTGTGAGTAAAAAAAAAGGAAACCAAAATATGTCGGGACAAATTTTGTAATGAAGTTCTGCATGTAGCACTTTCCAAATCTAGGATATGAAAGCCCAATTAATAGGCTTTCTTTTAGTACAAGAATCAGTAAACAAAACAATTCACATACATGAAGCGGTGAGCGTGAATTGTTTACGTTTTGCTGAAAGAACACTTTCTTTTTGTGATCCGTGGACAGAACTTTAAAACGGTGTTTGTGTTCAAAATTCTGTAACTTGAAAAGTACATGAGAGATTTCATTTGAATGATTCTTGTACTAAAGGAAAGCTTATTGAATTGGGCTTTATATCCTAGATTTTGAAAGTGCTACATGCAGAACTTCATTACAAAAATGGGTTTCGTGTTTTTTTTTTTGACTCGCCCTGTAGACAGGCACAAATTAACCTAAGACTTTATTGCTAATACCAAACAAAGCTCATAATTTAATGTTTTAGGAAATAAAATAATCGTTTGAATTCCAGACACTTAGTCAATATTACATATTCTTTCAATAGATTTTAATGAAATAATTTAAAAACTGGATTTAAATATATATATTTTTAAATGATAACTGGCCACTGTCGCAATTTCTGGCATGATTTATTCCTCTTAACTGACAAGCTACATGATCTGTGGTCTTACGGAACCCTAAATTGTTCAACGTTTCAAGCATTATATCTTGACCATCTCCAAGGCATTCAGGATATCACCACAATGCTTACTACATGTACTTCACTATTTACCAAAGAGTGATTGCTGTGTGCGTGTTAACTATGTCTACATCAAGCACAGAACTAAATGTACTAAGCAAAATCTCACCCGCAAACTTAAATTTACAAAATACAAATTGTAAAAAAACAACAACATATTTTCACCTCAAATTTTCTATATTTTCCACACAAAATATCTTCATCTTCACAAACCGCAAATAAAATTATAAAAGACTTTAGCACAATATATTTATGGCTTCATTGATTTTCTTGGTTGATTGTTCCCTGGAAAAGTGTTGTTTACAATGTTAAAGTGTGTTTGACAATAATCTCTTTTCATGATTTTTTTGTGTATACACTTTGCAATGCTTATAACTATTAAATTATATTCATAAATACCAAAGACACTTTACCCATTCCTATTGGTCGACAGCCCGTCATATGACGGTTGATGAAGACCGGCTCATTTTTGATGAATGACTGGAGTGTTTTAGAACAGTCTAGGAATGCCATCCATTAATCTAACTTTGCCATCTCAAAGTCGTAGTCTGTGTGGCCACCTGCAAACAAAGCAAAAAAATTGAACACATTAACTTTTATCATCCATTACTTCTGTTGTATCTTTGTTTCGGTGTTTGAATGCTCGCCTTAAAGGGTCTACGACATGAAGTTTGCTCTGGAACTTATTTTGTGCAAAAATCCATTCCTCCGAAATGTATGAAAACTATGAGACATTCCTTTTTTTGGTTAAAATCTTTATGAAGTCCACTTTTTTTAAACATTTAAAATATTCCATTCCTTTTCTTTCAACAGAGGGCGACGTTGCTGTGATGTCACTTCAGGAACACACTCTTCATTTTAGGGGTTTTCTGTTCATATTGTCAACCCAAACATTTGCTCGTACGTAGATCTGCCGTACGTACTCCTGCTGGTATGTGTCTGTACGAATACAGACATTTATTTCTGCAGCGGTAGTGACACTGCTTGAAGTATCGGCACACTACGGAACTGGACTAGATTAAGTTTGTGGTACGTGTACATGTACGTCTGTCTGTCCACATTGCCCACCAACAAGTTTGATAAATTTCTCAGGTTTTGAGAAATTACAGGGGATTATCTTCAAGATTTAACATTCATCTGTTCATAACATGGACAGACATTTCATTTTCAAGTGGTAGAAAGCAGTACATGTATATACATGTAAAATACATCAATTATCCCAAATTTGTTCCTAATGTAAAGCTACCCATTGCCACTGGCCAATCTCAGGTTAATCCTCGAGGTATTTTAAACTATAGGGTGGGCACATCTTCAAGACTTCATGCTCATAACAGGGACAGATATTGTGTCACAAATTTCTGTCCATGTTATGAACATGTATCAAGTCACATCATAATTTCATAAATACTTAACAGGTTGCTTTAATGTTGAATGATACAACTCTTCATTGAATATGTAATTTAAATGGAACATGGGCTGGATTTATTATAACAAGAACCTATAGTATGAATCAAGAGTGTCCGTCCATGTTATGAACATTATCCTTCATTTCATCTTAAAGGGAATATACAACATTTGCAAACATCGAAAAATAAAACTACCAAGTCTTTACAAAACACCTTACTAGGATGTTGGTAAATGACAGTCTAAAGCATTCTGTAAAATTATGGCACCTGGTGTCAAGTCATTTTCAAGAAAATGGTATTTTTGTATACATTTCCAACGATGGTCGGCCGACCACCGTTGGAAAAACCTAACTATTTTTCAACTACAGCTCAAAATTTACAATTTTTTTCAGTCCAAATTTTGTTTGCTATTGGTTACATAATCATAAACAGGTGCAGGCCAGCTGGACTGGTTCCCTTACCTTACAATTTTCTGACATCTATAAATTGATCCATTTTATCTTTAGTGGAGTCAGGGAACCAGACTACTTAAACATTTTTGGTTTTCTTGGTTTTTCAAGCATTTTCAAACACAAAACTTCAAACATGTCAGTTAAACAATATTTGATCTATTATACTAACCCCTCAAATAGTTCATTTCTGAAAATTACAGCAAAAGCCAATGATGTACATTCCCTTTAAAGATGGCTGAGCAATTTCCTACATATCCAGTGAATCAGCCTAATTAGTTATCAGTGCAATCACGGATAAGACAGGAATCTTCAAAAAACAAAAATTAGCTTTGAAATCCACCTCCCATGTCTCACCCATAAAGCTATAAGTTGTAACTGTTAGTGTGGATAGACCCACGTACATATACATACAGGGGGGAATCGCGAAGCCCGATTCAGTGTGTGCTTACATACACCGTTTATGTGTACGTGTTCTACATAACCCCTGAGGACCGACACACAAAGGGAGAACAACAGATCCTTTCAGTCCTCAAGCGTTAGGTCCTTTGTTCAAAACGGTCCTCTGTAGTAGGTTCGTGTGCTTACTCTATGGGAGAGTGTTATATTACAGGGACAAAGGGAAACACAAAGCATTGTCCTCGGGAGTATAGAAAAAACAAGAGTGCGTGGCCGCGTGTATGTGTGGGATTGATTCAGCGAGATTTTAAGACAACCGATCGGGCTGGCATGACATCGAAATACAATGCCAATGTGTTGGGAAAACAACTGAAATCAAGGATTGTAGTGGCTGTAATAGGCTTATGGATGTTTATCACAAAAAGGCATGGGCGTCGCGAGGAGGGCAAGGGGGGTGCTTGCCCCCCTGGAAAGGCAAAAAAAAAAAAAAAAAAAAAAAAAAGAGAGAAAAGAAAAGAACAAGAGGCGCAAAGTCATAGTGGTGTAAATTTAATGGGTGGGGGGGGGGGGGGGCAAAATGTCCCTGCCCCCCTCTTAAACTGATAAATCGAGAATATGTCGAGAAATACAAGATTTTTGGGGAAAAATATGTTTTGCCCCCCTCTAGAAAAAATCCTGGCGACGCCCATACAAAAAGGGCACGACGGCCAAGGTAAATATGGGGCAAGGCAAAACGTGTCATGAAGAAATTTTTTTTTTTTTAGGGGCACCTCGGCCAGTAAAAAGGCAACTTCGGCACTGGCCCTGGACACGATTTCAAGGTGTTATTACATGGAGGTGTCGGAGAGAGTATCTATCAGCCGGTCAAAGGGAACATGTGATTTGCCATAAGTTAGATCATATTCCAACTGTGGTGAGGTATTGACACAGTTGCATGCACATTCATTCAGTATTAGGGACTGGTCAAAATTAACATATGGGAACGTCGAGTAAAACTTAATACTTACGCCAGAAAACTTTGGAGACCTTTTCACCAACAAGGTACATCCCGAGAAGAAGAACAGATGTTGTGAGGATAAAACCAACAAAGACTGGACCTTCCATGACTTTCAGGAAAGGATAGACCCAGATGTCGGCTACAAAACCAAGCCACAAAATCCTACAAGGTGAATAAAAACAAAAGTATATACAGGGTGAGTCCAAAAAAGCGGAACCCAAACCCCCAAAAATATATTTCACATTGAAACAAAATATCTAGCATATATTTCATATTGAAAAAAAATATATATAGTACCAAAAATAATAATGACTGGAAAGCCAATTTCATACATGTAAGCTACTTTTAAATGTAGATGAAAAAATTATTGAAATTGCTTAATCCGTTCAAAGAATATCACCATTTAAACGCAATGACCCTAAAACCTGTTTCGTCCAAAAAAAACCAATTTATTGTGAATTCTGACTGTTTGGAACAAAAAGAAAATGACACAGAAGAATACTTGTTTCAACAACTGTCAACAACTGTAGTACACAATATCTTTACAAACAACCCTGGTTAGGCAAACAATATAATTAAAAAATCCACTTTTTTTTTGAAAAGACGGGCCTTCAAAAGGACTTAGTTGAATATTTTTAGCTTTAAAAACGAGGTTTCAAGTCCTAAGCCAAGTCGCAAGCTACATGTATTCAATCACCGATCCTCTACACAAGGATAAAGACTCATCTGAGCTTGTCTACAAAATGTAAGGAACGGTTTGTCTACATGCATGATATGCCACGTCTGTGCATAGAACAACGAACAGAACATGTAGATCAATGCGCGCGCCATGATGGCAACAGCTGGCGTACTGACAGAAATTTGACCACTGAAAGACTGCAGTCGTGCGCCTAGTTTCGCGCACGCACGAAACGCAAGTGCCATATCACGCCTCTAACCAGAAATTTGGGGAAGTCGTTTGTCCTTGTGTTGAGGATCCGTGATTCAATTCGGGCGATTCACAATGCAGTGCGCCACCAAGAGTTTGCCACCGAGAGTTCATTTTCCCAGTGCATTGTGGGAGATGGTCAACAAATTTGCAGCGCGGGACATTTGAAATTGTTAGTTTTTTTCAGTCAGTGGTTTCGTAAGTGTATGATTAGAGGATCTGTTTGCCTATTTCTTTTCTTGTTATCAATATGGTGTTTTTTTTGTAAGGCGGCAGAACGCTATGCCCCAATCTATGACATATTAGCTCAAGTTGTCTACCGAAACTCATTCAAATGGGCCATGTTTTGTCGACCGTAAACTTGAAAAATGGACTCTCCGTGGCAAACTCTTGGTGGCGCACTGCATTGTGAATCGCCCGAATTAAATAGTGACAGAGGCATTCCTTTCTTTTTGTTCATACCCTTGTGACTGGGCTTACGGACTGACTTATGATACTGCGGACGAAACTTGTGATCGTCGTGGTGAAATTTACTAACTACAACTACTGTATTCTCCTGTCAAAGAATCTCATCTACACTCACCATGAGAGATACGACAGGGCTACGACAGCTAGACCAAGTATTCCAGTCAGCTTGGAGGGGTATCGGTGTCTGACCAGGAACATATCAAGGAGCAGAATTGGTAGCACTGTTGTATGCTATAGAGGACGAAAGCAATCAAATATTGCAACTTGATAAATCTACAAGGTATAAGCTTTTTCAATACGTTTGTTCCTTTACTTTGCATAGATTTAAGGAGAAATTGCATTTATAAGGCAAAGTAAAAAAAAACCAAGTTTCTCGTCCCCGCCCGCTTCCTTTTTGGAAGCCGCCTGGATTTTTTTATTATTTTTTATTTTTGAAAAATGCAGTAAAAACACTGAAAAAGTCTACAAATTCATCGGAAAATAAATACTTGCGAAATATGTGAGTCGAAGTTTTCAGTATAGACTCTGTCGGTCACTTTGTACACCACATAAAATCGACGTGTGATCGCTACCCCTGCGACGGTGCGAGCATGGCGAGTTCACAACTCACCCACTTGGTTCCCAGACCAAAAGATTCTGACTATTCCTGATGAATCTACGCGCCCATGGAGTCGAGGCTGAGACGTGAGCGTCAGGAATAATTGTCAGGTCTAGGGAACCAGACTACATACATGCATGTCTATTGATAGTTTTAGACTACAGTCGTTTGAAAATTCAACCGGAATCTGTCTGCCGTATTGTATGCGGTAAATGCTGACTTCAAAGCCAGAATGCAACCGGTATGAGACTAGCTCACGCTGGAGCATGTGTTTAAAGAATTCGCTCGCGACTTTTGGCGGTTAAAGCAAATGCATCTAAAACTGTTGGTATTGGTAGACCAATACAACTCTAAAGGACACTTTAAATATGTTCAGTTCTCTTGTACAACTTGTCTTTCATTTTAAAAGTGTCTTTGAACAGTGGAAACACCAACAGTTGCAGCAAATTTTAAAATGGTGGCCATCTTGAAAAAAATAAAAAAATAAAAAATAAAAAGCCCCTCTTCCTCCTATTTTTCAAAAACCCGGACGAGAAACTTTTTTTTTTTACTCGGCTTAACTTATTTTTGTTTAAAGCAAAAGTGCCAAAAGGTTATGATGGTGAACCAAGATACAACATCTGTCGACCTAAAAAAAACAACTCATGAGCTTGAAGTCGAGCCAAAGTCTTGAAAAAAGTGACAAACCAGACGACTAATCAAAGACTACCTTGCTGTCCCGAATATTCCGAATATTTGATCATTAACTGACATTTGAATAGCTTTTTGCCAGTCTGAATATTCGAAAACAAAAAACTACGCGCATGTTGTACACACACAACTGTGATGATATTTTATCATAACAATGCAGCGTTTTATTGTCAGGTGCCACTTTATTTGTTAACGGAGACTTTTTTGTCGACGGCAATTCCTTGTATCTATAAAGATCCTTTTAGCAGGTTTAAGCCCTTGACAATTTATTTATTTATTTATTGATTTCTTCTTTATCCGCTCCGTTCACAAGTACCCCCTCACCGGCAAAGAGAGTACAGCTGGGGGTGACCGACCGACGCCATCTTGTTGGACTGCAATTCATTTGCCGCAAACCGCGGCCACTGCTTGGACATACATGTAGTACAAATCCCCTGGTGTACGTGCGTCACACACAAGGAACGGTGTGCGTTAACCAGCGAAATGTTCTGCCCATGGGACGTCGTTGCTAGGTAAAAGGGCGCCCTCTTTTGTCGGCGCACGGAGCCCATACTGGGTGGCCCATTCAGTCCTTTTATCAGAACTGATCTCCCATGGGTCCCAGTAGGAGCAATAATACAATAAAACACGATGCGAACACTAAAATTGATAATTTTAATCACATTTTAAGTTCATGCATGTTTATTCTCATTGCACAGTATGAAACAAATTTTATTTTAAAAACAGAGAGCATAATAATTGCTTTAAATTTAGCGTTCAAAATTATACCTAACAATTAGCTGAAATAAATATAAACATTAAAAGTCAAATTCATCTAGCACCTAGTGCCCAACAATAGACACATTATTCAGTCCCTCAGACATCATTATTGCATATTTGATGATCAAAATTAAAGAAAATCAATTTAACAAAATCATCAATAGTCCAGCTAGTTATGAAAATACTTACTACAAAACACTCCGTATTGATATTTAAGTGCCGCACTCTGCACCCAACTTTTGACCGGAGCGGCACGAAGTTGCAGCTCCAACAACTGAATATTTGGTCTCCCATATGGAAAGTTCCCGTAACCAACAGGTTTGGGGCATGGCCATTAATGATGACGCAACAGAACAAAACAACCCTACCCCACCCCTAACACTACCCCCCCCCCCCCAAAAAAAAACCCCAACAAATCAAAAGACAAATACCCCCTAGCTAAAGATGAATATCTGTGCCTCCTTCTTACCCAGACAGGGCTCTGGAGTGCTCTGAAGCATGGACAACTAAATCAGGCCCACTTTACTCACAGTTTAGCCAGTAAATTTCTCCAAAAAATCCACTGGGGCAAAGAAAATGTCCTCAGTAGTTCACCAACCAAGTTTGCAGACTCAATTTTTAAAGGAGACTTTTCTTCAATATTTTGCACATGAGAGGGAAGTCAAGTGATTTCAAAATGGGGCTAAATACTAGACTGGTACATGTCCATCCATGGTCCAACTATTTGAAAAGACTGACCTCTTCATTCAGTGTCAATAGTCTGGTGGCTGACTATGGAGAAATGTGTAGCAAATTGAGACTAGTTCCCGCTTCATGCCACAAGTTTCTTGAATTCCTTTGGCATGGCTATGGTTGATTGATGCAGTTCTGAAGCTGTGTTGGACTGGTTGTTTTAGGTGCCAGTCTATTTTCTTGTTTTGCATGTTTTCAATACCTTAAGTTTTGGGACTCTCATACACTGTACACAGTTGAGAGTCCCAAATTTTCGGATTACTTCTTACCATGACATGATTGAGCCAAGCTGGAAAGAACTCGTCAAGTATTTTTGGGAATATCAGCTCTCGGTCTATCGCCCAGAGTCCCCAAAACACTGTCACCACAAGCTGCACAAGGATGAAATAAAACAAGGGTAAGACAAACATGTACTGGAGCTTGTTCATTTACCCTGCCCTTCCCAATTCCTCTAGACTTGATGACAAGGGGTCAGACAGTCCTGTTTTGTCCGTGAACTTCAGTCGAACTGAAGTCGAAATTTTTGTTGCGTAACAAATTTTGGACTTGGGAGGACTAAGACAAGTCAAATGTGATTTGGACAGCATTTTATTCACTATCGAAGTGTTACGCAATAGCGACCAAAGGTCCCTGGGCTTATCCTACTGATGGAGCTGGCCACAAATGAGGCAACCACTGCACATGTAATCGAAGCAAAGTCAAATCCTTTGAAATCTGGTCAAGCAAAGACACCACGATGGTCAACTATTTCACACCGTGACCGTGCGTGGACTGTAATCTTACAAATAGAAGTCGACGCTGTAGGTTTTGTCTAATTTTCTGATGAAACTACTGTACATGTACACAAAAATACTCAGAAAATACATGAGTCCAAAGTGAGTATTAGCCATAGAGCTATACATGTATTAAATGACTAGAGGGCTAACTCGATGTAAAAAGTAAAACTCAAAATTTTGTACGGCTTTTGTACGGCTATTTGCATATCTGCGTTTGTATTTCATACCGGTGCGTCATCGAAGCCGATACGCCCTAAACTGAAACGCACGATCAGCAAATGAGCATTCCATTTTGCTCCACGTAAACAGCACAACGCATGCGCGCCCCTCCGCTGCAGATGCTTTTCGCCGTGACGCTTTTTGAACCGTCATGACGCGCTTAAGTTCTACTTGCGCGTTGCATTTAGAGTGCACTTTTAAAAATTCAATCCATCTATTTTGATTGTGTTGTACAAACACGCACATAAAATCAAAATGTCTGCCCCCAGAGCAGCTTCAAAGCGTCTCCATGCTCAAGAATGAGGAGTTAGCGCTCTAGTAATTTAATATAGCTCTATGGTATTAGCCATGTTTGCATAAGCATGATCCCATTGCTGTGCTAACGACTGGCCTTAGGCGATCTTCCTGCACTTCGATAGTGAACTATGAAACTAAATGTACACCAAGTGAAAGATGCATGCAGGTTTTGATCAAAGTTGAAGACACTCACAGTTCCTATTGGGAATGCTACTGCAGCCAAGAACCAATCCCTGAATGCTGCAATCTTCCGAGTTAACGGACTGTGAGCTCCTGAGCTGGCGACTAGATCGCTGACGCAGCATATGAAGAAATACGTCAACTGAAAAACCTGGAGACAGTGAAAAAAAGAAGAAAAGATTTTCTAGTTTTGTCTTTACTTTACTTTGCATTGGAATAAACTTAGACTGAGAACTTACAAACAATGTAGGGGCAGATAAACATGCAAAACACAACCAGGAAAGAATGTTGCAACCTGACCCCACTTAGTATTTTCTAACAAACTTGGCAATGTTTCTTATTCCTAGATTCATGTCGTATATTTTTTTTTTACAATTAATGACCTTCATCATGTTCATTGAGATTATATATCAAGAAAAAGTGACGTCAGGTTGCAACATTCTTTCCCTAAACCAGGCCAATATTCACTCTTTAGCCAACAAAAATTGGAAAGAATGTTGGAACCTGAGGGATATATCTTCAATCCTTTCAATGAAAGTTATCCATTGCAAAAATGATGATAACACATGAATCTGGGACTGAGAAACATTTCCAATTTTGTTAGGAAATACTTGGAAAATGTTCTTAACTCTCCATAGACTTTGTACACAATCGCAGGAGTGGCGTCAGGTTGCGACATTTTTTTTTTCGCAGTGGCTATCGTTACGGCAGCCGTAATTACGCATTACCCATTTTCAATCGTTACGGTAGTACTGCAACTTTTATAAAAACATGAGAAGAGAATATAAAATTAGAAGGAAAAAAGTGAATTTGAACGTTATGAAATTCGGACTTTATTTCCCTTTTAAAAAAAATCCTCCAAAGCCTCAGGTTAGAAAAAAATTCGAGTGCAAAACTGAGATGAGAACCCGCAACCTCGCGGTGCAAAATCCGGTACAACTATAGAATGCAGGGCCACTTTACTCTACATCCGCGCCTCCGTACGGCTGCGTGGAGCCGCAGTCGACCTACCTCGGAAAATCGATCGTGGAGTCGTGGAGCCGCAGTCGATATCTCCGAGAATTGCGCCCTCCGCCACTCCAGACAGTGCCCCGTCGCCCTCCTCCCTTCCTAATTTGCGAGCCCATTTAAAATGGATACGGATGCTTCGTTCTCAAAAAAATTCCGCCAAGAATTGCGCCCTCTATCGGCGCGAGTCTCTGCGACTCCGCCACTCCAGACAGTGCCCCGTCGCCCTCCTCCCTTCCTAATTTGCGAGCCCATTTAAAATGGATACGGATGCTTCGTTCTCAACAAAATTCCGCCGAGAATTGCGCCCTCTATCGGCGCGCGTCTCTGCGACTCCGCGCCTCCGCCACTCCAGTGCCCCGCGTCTCCGCGACTCCACGACTCCGTGCCTCCGCCACTCCGCGACTCCGATCCGTACCGTGCCCCCAACACATTTACAAGCACGCCCTCCCTTCCGATCCTTCATGAGAAGCTTAGAAGACAAGTGCATTCGCTACTTTGCACTTTTTGCAGGTTTGCATATCTATTACTCCTATCCATCCACGCCTCCAAGCAAAATAAAAAACCTTGCTCCGGCGTGGCCCTGCATTCTATAGTTGCTCCCAAAATCCTATTCTCTATCGACTGAGCTGTCGCACTGCTCGCTAAAGCGTGGGGAAACAAATAATTTTATACCTGCGTGCGTATCAAAAAAGTATCGTAGAGGGCGCTAAACAACGGCTGCCGTAACGATAGCCACTTCGTGTTTTTTCCCCAAACCAAAAACCAACATCCACATGCGCATGATGATGATTAGCATTGAGTCATGATCAACAACACAAAATATCTGGACACAACGCACAGCTCACTACTGTCACTATCCAAAAACAACGAGAAAACTTGCCACAGAGTCTGTGATCATGGCTGATCAGCGACTGTGAAGACAATGCCGCATCAGCATGCAGCATTTTATGCATGCACGGCAAGTGACATGGCAGTTTTTGCCGCACACGCTCAAGTCAACTCACATGACTCACCATATTCCACATTGTGAGGAATTTCGTCATCCCATACTTATCTCCTCTGGAACTGGCTACACCTATCTTCTTAAAATACGCGTCCATTGATGGATTCACATAAGCAGTATTGTAAAATAACCCATAACTGTACAGAACGAGTCCCAGAAAACTGAGGATTGTGCTGAGCACGAGCATTCCACCGGCGGCCGCCATGTTTGTTGAATAAAAATAGTCAATTCAAACGAATACGATTATTTGTAAGTTGAGTATCGAAATTATAGCCGAGTCTTTGGTAATCGATTTTCTGAATTCTAATTCTGAGTGCAATTAGGAATGAATAATGAATCAGATGATTTATTCAATTTAATTAGTAGTTCAGGGGTATTTGCGTGTATATGTGTTGTTTGGTTATCTTGATCGTGGCCTTCGTGGGTGGGCTATTAAAACGTGTTTTGGAATCGATTATTGCTCGCCAAGAGAATCGAAATTGGAATGTTGTATTCGAATTCTATCACTACCAAAGTTTTTGGCGCCCCTGGGCAAAGTACACACGAGCGCCACGAGTTTGGAGTTAAAAATGTAATTATCCTAATTTAATACTTGAAAACTGTGTGGACCCACGCCAAGGATGTCGAGGATAATACAGGGAAGTTTTCCGTCCAACTACGGTGAGCGTAAAAATGTAGAATGAATGGTTTTCGACTGGATTGTTGGCGGTCAAGTTTTTAGCGGTCTCGGTGAAGGGCGCTCCCTAGCGGTAAAAACCGGTAAGTGGGAAGTTTATGAACTGGTGCTTTAACATGTTAAGTTACTTCGAATTTTCCCCTAAAACCCAGGCATTGTTTCCAACCACTTTGCTCATGAAACTTCATATTAATTCATGTATAATTATGGTACTACTACCTTGATAAAAATTGCTATGAAAAACCTGTTGAATAATTTTAAGTCATGAAATTTAGCCCGACTGTATAGTGGTGTCCGGAGATTGGGCGATATACGGAAGCCTTCCTCAATATCCTGGAATTTTGAACATGTAAAAATTTCTTTGTTAAAAATTGAAAAAAAAGTAGAACATGTTTGATAAACGTTAATTAAACTTCACTCACATATCAAATTAAACATTTGCCATTGAATTATGTTCGCATTTTTGGGCGCATTTAAGTGTTAATTCTCTGCGCACTTCAAAATAAAATCGGAAAATCACGCGTATTACGTCCGCATAACCTTTCTCATAATTTTGAGTGGAGTCGGTTATAAACTCCGTATCTATGAAAAGGAATATTAGAACTGGATGGAATTTCAATTCTTGGGTAAAACTTTTGCTCTTTCAAAGCGTTAGAGGAGACAAATAAAAGGGCGCCCCTAAGGGCCGCCCGAAATTAGGGGATGATTATAAATACACGCAGTAAAAGTTGCACATCTATATCTGCTGGCGTCATTTCCAGCAACTTAATTACATGACTGGTGTACTGGTCGGAGTGACCAACTAAATCTCTCAACAGAATTCTAAATCTTAAAGCTCCACTTACCGCACACCAACTCGTGAGATACATACACTTATAAACCGCAGAGCCATCAAAGAACTTGACGATATCAGGGTCCATGTATTTGCTCCTTATGAACACTGGCGTTGTAACCGTGATATCATATTTCAATTCGTAGGCGTACAATGAGAATGCCAACAGATGAAAGACGTGCACGAAGTGCACAACAGTCTTGGCCAATCCACGAGGAGGCCTTGTCTGATAGGGTGGAAGATTTTCTTGTTGTATTCATCTTAATGTTCGATAAAACTCCCAAAACAGCCTTGCTAAAATCATAACCAGTCAGAAACTATACATGAAGCTCTGCAGTGCCAAAGGCTAGATGGTTATCTTCGTATTATGATCACGTACAATTCGGAATGCAAACTGATTAACGTTGGGAATTATTATGGTTATCTGTCTTATGGTTATCTGACGTCGTTGTACCTTGCCTTATCCACGTGATTGTCTTTATTCGGAAAACAGTAATTATTTTGTTACAGCTTTACACAGATGAATTGCGCTCTAAGCATCGACGAACGGAAAAGCAGATTTCAGAGTTGATAAAAGTGGTTTGCATCTTTGCAAATATTGGTTTATTTGTGAACATGCTTGTCAGCAGGTTTGCCATGCTAATTGCGCAGTCAATCAAAAATAACAAAGCTAGTACACGTGGAATTCAAAATGACGTAAGCTTCACCATATATTTACCAGATAATCTTGTGGTTTCTTACCGCACACCACGATGTGAGATGCAACGATTTGTGTTTCAGTACCGATCCATTGCTCATGGCAGAAATCTTTGGGTTCACGTACTTGCTCTTCATGTACACAGGAAAAGTCTGCGTCGCATCGTAAACGGTTCCAAACGAGTAGAGGGAAAATACTGCGAAGTGGTGTACGGCCTGCAGCCATGTGACTGACACGTCAGATCGCTGGCTTGGATTGTTGTTAAACCTGGCCTTCCCCATGTTGTACACTTCGCAGTTTCGTTGCTCGAAGATTGCGCAAAATTATTCGGATCAAATCGGAAATTGCATGGGAATAAACATACGTATCCCCTCGTTCATTGATACAGCACTCACATTCAGCAGTGACAGGACGTGAGGTTTTTATCCATTTTTATCAAAGTGCAGATTATTGATAGTACATTGTACGGGGATTTGGTTGCGTAACGTTAACGACGAGGGATATATAGTAATCAGAAGTGTCAAAATTGGGTTTTGCTCTTCACCGACGTATTTCAGCTTGTGAATAATCAGAAATGTGAAAAGTGTTTATGTCAGTTAGATTCACAATCTAGTATTACATTTTGCCATTGACCGAGGAAAAACAATGTCATAACTTCCTTTCGCCTATAATGAACTATTCAGTAGTTGATGTCGGATTTGGAAAGTGGTATCAGCTGGGGTACCGGTGTCATATGAAAATTGGACTCGTATGAACATCGGACTCTTTTTCCCTTTTCCTTTTATTGGTTAAACCCTCTCACGTGACCAGTCCCTCTCCTAATTATCTATGCATGCGCATGTGCAATACCACCAATGAGTCCGTATTTCATAAACCTAAATTCATGCTACACCGGTAGTGCATGTTTGGCTCCATTCACGTATCTCTCGATCTCTTAGCTTAGACTTCGGACCTGTGCTGGGGCCCATTTCAATGCGCTGCTAAGCACAAAAAATTGCTCAGCACAAAAAAGTCTGGCATTATAAAAGCAGCTTACCAGTCAAAACTCCACGTGATGTATATTGTTTGTGATTGGTATTCAGCTCTGGTTTGCTTAGCATGAAAATCACATTGAGTTTTGGCTCAGTAACCTGCTTTTACTAAGCAAGACTTTGTTGTGCTAAGCAATTTTTTTGTGCTTAGCAGGGCCCGATCCACGCATCTCTCTTATAACCTAGACTTCGGACCTGCTGGGGCAAATTTCATGGTAGTGCTAAGGCACAAAATGTTGCTTAGCATGAAAATTCTTCCTGGGCTAAAACCGGATTACCAACCAAATGTCCATTGCTTATGATTGGCACTCATGCAGCTGTTATTTGCTTCGCATGAAAATCACAAGGAGTTTGCCTCAAACAATTCTTGTTACACATTTGCCGACAACATTTATGGATTTGCCAACATAAATTTTGAATGGGGGTGTCACACACCCCCTCTAGCGACGGCCCTGTTTAAACTCTTCCCGGAATCTACGGTAGATTACAACAGTTGAATTGACACAAACGTTATATCAACAGGCTGAACGTGTTACGTTAATTTTTGATTATCATTTTGGATAGGTATAGTGAATTGAAATTAATAAGTACCAGCAGAAATATGGACTTTGCCCTCGCGACCTCGATTATTGACATATTAATGATCAGGATGCAGGGCTGGCATGATTTGCACATTTTCTTGTGCCATGAATTACCTTGCTATCGCAAAGCAGACTCTATAACTGGTTCCTCTCTCATGAAATAGTATTTCGTTTATTTACGATACATTGTATGCATGTATTGTTTATAAAAAAAACACGAAAAACTTTTCCTATTTTTTACTCACATTAATTTTGATCAAGGCTTGAACACAACAGAATGAACTACACAATGCATTTAAAAATGCAGAATTTGCGATTTGCTAAAAAAATATAATCAATTAACTTCAGTTAGCAACTTAACGTAGCATATTTTGGTGTCATGATATATTTGACAAATTTAACAAACAAAACAACCAGAAGAAAGCAATGAACTTAAAAACTGGATGAGAAAAAGAAATTTGAATCGATCTTACCGAATTCCAAATGGTGATGTAGATAAACTTGTACGCTATCGATCCACCGAACATCTCAAGGATATCACTATTTAAAAGTTTGCTCTTCATTAAAACAGGGGTACATACTGCGAAATTATACCCAATTGCGAACAGGTTCAGACCAAATACGAATACATGCCATGCTCTTTTCAGCCATGCCATAGTTGGTCTATTGGCCCTGTTGCTGCGCTTCGATTTGGTGGAACGTTTACGCATGGTCTATTGCGAACACAATTTGACGCGGTGTTTTGGACTACAATGCAATTTGAATATTAGACTTCATGATGCCAACGAAAGGCATAACAAGTATTGAGTATAACTGTAGCAGACCACCTGTCAATATATTGGAAAACTAGGTTAAACTTACCATGTCCCAATACGTGAGTGCCAGGGCTTTGTGAAGTAGGTACGAAGTCCCAAATTTCTCTAGTATGTCGGGGTTGACGTGGCCGCTCCTCATAAAGCGTGGTGTGGACACGTTGATGTCATAAACGAAAACGAAGACGTAGAAACTGAGCAGAACAAAGTGAATGGGTAACATGACGACTGGAGATGATGCCATGATGTCGATCCGTATGATTATGCAGATGTGTACTTTAAGGATGATTCTTACAACGCATGCAAATCTACCCAGTTTATGGGGCCGACAGTCGTTCTATTTAATGATAATACGAACCAGCACGTAACCCAATGCACGTACTGTATAATATGGACCAGCTGTACTATATGCTGGGGTTACAAAAATCATCGGAGCATAAAATTCGATAGAAACCAGCTCTTTTGCAAAAACGTAAATGAGAACCGATGCCATATCTAACGTAATATTCGTCCCTGTGAAATTATTGCTCAGTCATATTCGTCACCGACACCACGAAGTAACACTCTACCGTGTTAAACCATATTTTTTTCGATTTCCAGTTTTTGGGATTTTTAAACATTATTCATCAAGGCCTACCATTGCACGAAGTTTCAAAGCTTCAAGAGCTTTACTTTAATAGTTACGCTAAGTATCCATGGCAACTTTTGCGCAAAAGTGACAATTTTCGTTTTCACGAAGTAACACTCAAGTTCCATGCATTTCTATATAAGTTTTTGTAAAGCGTGATCTATGTGACCGATTAAAATTTAAGAGTCACATAAGGGAGTATAACACTTTGAAAAAAAGGGGGATTGTGTTTTTTATGTGTGCAAAGTACTTCCTTCGAAAAGAGAATTTCCGATTATCCACCGCATATGCACCGCAACCATTATTATCATTGTGAATTGGTTGTTGCTAGATAGCGCCCTCTTGTGACCTCTATTGATCTGCCTATAAACCGGATTAGCCTCCTGTACGTAATTTTCCAGGATCGCCTTATTAGGTTGATATCTCCTCTGTCCAATCTGAATATGAATGGGGACAGAAAAGGGTTTTTTATTGAAGCTCATTTTGTTAGAACCGTACGTAAACCGTGGAAAAAGTAAACAAACGAAATGAATGATAGTTTTTCTTTGCTGTTTATATTCCGGGGGAAGAGTTCAGTTACATCAGGGTTTAGTCACGCACAAAACTGTCCATGGATGATGATTCCATATTGACCATACAATGTATCTGACCACTGACCCCTTGCCACAATACTGACAAAATAATCTTTATAAGCAATCCAGCTTTGAAATTTTGATCATATTTAAGGGCCCGTGAATGTGTTTTTTTTTTATGCAATCCTTGAAAAGGAACCTTTGTGTCCCACTTTAACCTTATTTTCAATTTTCATTTTGCCTTTTTCAAGGGTGCTTTAGCGCCTTTTTGGTTTTCTATGCTGATGCGAATTTCCATATTCATGAGCAAAAGTGTGATGTCATTTCAGGCAGAAACCCCAATGTTACAGCTATCTCATTAAAAGTTGCCAGAATTGTTGATGTTTTGCTGTTCATAATTTTTTTCTTTGGCGTTTGTGCCAGTACATGGCAGTAAGCCAATGAGCAAACTTTTCTTACAATTTATGTTTTCAATTAGCAAAAGTTTGGGTTCACAAAACCAAAAACGGAAAACCGGAAAAGTGAGCAGTGTCTTCCTGAAATGACATCACAGACACAGCGCCCTCAGTTGTCCGGAAAAGCATATATTTAAAGAAGTGTACTTTTCAATGAAATGAATAAAAAAGGGATTTCAAATAGTTTTTATTCATTTTAAGAGTAGTAGCCAGTTGTACAAAATGTGTTCCAAAGAAAAATCCATTCCACTAACCCTTTAAATTACATTTCTTGATGTATTGTAACATCTTTACTATCCTCAAGACTATAGCAGACTCTGTATACAGTATCCATGACAACCAAACATCTCTTCTATTAGGATTCCTGCCGGGGGCGGCGGAACGCCTTAAGGGGGGGGGGCACCAAAAAGGGGCACTTGCTCAGAAAAAGGGGAACCTGCCGTCGGTGTGAAAGTGGACGAAAAGAATAATGGTCCCGTTCATTTCGCTTTAAACTATATATGACGAGGAACAAAATTTATAAATACGTTGTCCATCTTGCTCTTTTTGTTCTTTTACCAAGTTTATGTAGAGAGACCATTTTTTTTTATCGCGAGAGGGCACTGTTGCTTTTGATGGCCAGTTCAGTGACCATTTTATTCTCGTGAAGAGCACTATTATTTTTGGGGGCCACTTTTCCATCTTGAGAGGGGCACAATTTTTAATGTTACGACCGGGGCGCTATAATTGTGCTTTCAAGGAACAGTTTCCCATCTCGAGAAGTTATCGCAAGAGGAGCACTATCGTTTTTGATGGCCAATTTTCCATTTCGAGAGGGGCACAATTTTATTTTTGCGAGAGGGGTATTTTGTGCTTTCGAGTGGTAGTTTTCGATCGAATAGATGCACAATCTTGTTAATGCGAGAGTGTTTTTGAAGGGCAGTTTTGCATTACAAGAGATCGAGATGAGAATTCGGACAAGTTTATTTGTAGCGCGATCATAATGCTTTCATACGTGTGCGTTGGAAGGGCAGTTTTGTTTTCATCTCGAGGGGACACATTATAACCGCGAGAGGGGCACTTTTGTTGGCAAGAGCCTCCCCCCCCCCGTTCCGCCGCCAATCCTGCCAAAAGGTTTATGAATCGAAAGTGAAAGCAATTCACGTCAGTGTACCCCATGACCTTTAGCATGTAAAGTCTGGGACGGTAAATTTACCTCCACACATCGAGCGCATGCCTCAATACCCGGAAAGCCATCAGCTTTGTCACTGCATATCAGTATAAAAAAATATATATATCATGCTTGTAGAATGTAGTGCACATTAACAATGTTTTG